GTATGTATGTATATACATATATATATACATATATACATATATATACTTATAAAAATTTATATATAACAATCGTGTAGGAGCGATATCATTTATACTAGCTTAGTGAGCTCAAGAAGATATCTTTTTTTCTGTGGATATTATAGTGCAGTTCAGGGATTGACCGTTGGTAGTCGAAAGAGACTAACCTGAGAGGCAACCTGAGAGTCTTACAGTCTGCGAACAGGAACTATGTAAATACCAAGGTATTGAAAATTACTAGATATTGAAAATTACTAGAATACGCTGTCATTCACAATTTCACATCCCACAATCTAATGCGGAATACTCGTGGGCAATGTACTGTATCCATCCATTTAAAACACAAAGAAATTGCCCTATTGGCCGAGGTTGATAAACATTTGCTATTTACTTTTTTATTTTGAATAGTCTCTAGTTACTACATAGATACTTGTTAGATTTTTCTAACAGGCTTATACTTTAGACGTTAGATACTACATACAGGCTTGAGCCTTCACTTGGCGCCATGATCGCACTTCTTCCACGTGTACATGCTTTTCCTGTTTTCAGTTCTACCTTTGTGTGCTGAAGATTGTCATGCTTTGGCCCTTGGAAAGTTTAGTCTTGTAAATAAAACCTTTAGAGGCTTGGGCTATGTATTTGGTCATGCCATTCATGGGGGTTGTAATTCTGTGCGCATCCTGCGGTAAATACTAAATACTAAATACAACAGCTTTTTTTTCATTGTACTAAATACTAAATACAAGAGCTTTTTTTTTCATTGTACTAAATTCTAAATACGAGAGCTTTTTTCATTGTTTTGTTTTTAAAAGCAAATATTCATCTATAAATTTGTTTTGTACATATTTTTTTTCTCAAAAAGGCAAGGCTGATAAAAGATACAAATATTTTTATATATTCACACTGATTGGGAATGATTTCAACTCTCAATTGCCCACCTAGCAACTAACAGTTGTAACGATTCATTTTGATATAATCCAATAGAAACATAGAACGAGTACATTTTGTTTGGTGAAAATCAAAAGGAAAAACTTCTCTTAATTGTTTTAAAAAACATTTACAAAAGAACTTTTTGTAGAGTCGGTCGGTCGACTATTATTATTTGTTTTTTTTGTTTTAAAAAGAAACTCTTCATATGCTTTTTGTTTTTGTTAAAAAAAACAAATATGGATTTAGAGAATGTGTGACAGTACATTGTCACATCAAATCATCATAATCATCTGACCGATGACCCTCTCACTCTCATAGCCCATAGGCTCATAAAATTCTCATCTGACCAATGACCCTCTGCCTTGTGGAAGTCTGCTGACTCCTGAGTTTTCACTTTTTAGTTTAGACTTCGTCTGAATAGAAAGTGGAAACCCGAAAATGGTTACTTCTGGCTCCGGATTCTCTCTCTTGAGTCTCCCGAAAGCGAGGCGAAAGCGGAGACAAGAAGGTTGTTTATTTACCTTGTGTTTTGCACAAAAAGTCCATTCATCCGGGGGGGATCGAGGGAGACAAGTAGAAATAAAAGAATAGAAAATACAGCTGACGTGTTTCAGAAGGACATGGCTGACGGACAGTTAGCCATCTAGATGGCCAACTTGCTGAGGTTATTTTTTAAATATTTTAGTACATATGTTTCAAAACTAAATGCACTGGACAACTGCCAGGCTACAGTTACTGAGTTATGTCACCTATGTAGTCAATTTATAGTTTTTTATAGTCCTAACCCTCAGGCTCAGTGCCTCTATTAGAGATTTAGCCATTACGGACAAAAGGCCATTTCAAAAGACGGCCATGTTTTTAAATAGTCATAGTTTTATATTTTAAAAAGACTATTTTTACTAAGTTATTTCACCAGAATACAAATCCGGGATCCCAGTGACTCCTGTATAATGTATACTTGTTGTGGAAAATAACCAAAGAATGTCCCAACATTTCGATACATATCAATATTTATAAATATATCACCAGGCAACTCAAGAATCTAGATCCGAGAGTGGCTCATGTATATGAGTGGATAATGATGAGTAAATGCACTACGACCTATCATTTCGATAAATGTATAGCATTGCTAGGCAACTCAAGAGTAAAGGTATATACTACTCACAGTGCTAACTGGACAAATGAGGCTGGCGATATCTTGTACATGACCGAATGATGATTCAAGCGAATTCCCGCCGATAATGTGTGCAAGACTTATTTATAATGATGTTTGAGATTCAAGGCATGGGACACGACTCCATGAAGAAGTTCTATTTTGCGCGTAGCTGTTGTATCATTACACTAGGCTGCGGGTCATTCATATAGTTCTTAGTGCGAAACGTTGGTACATCACACGGCTAACTCACAACGCAGAAGATACCACTCTGCTTCTAAAATGAAAGAAATATAAAAGTACAGGTTGAACAACACTCGAATCAGTTTCCTCTGCCAACACAATATACAAATTGCTTAACCTGCTCTCAACTAAACCAAAAAACATGAGTCTAGCACGCACAATCATCGCTATCGCCGCCTTGGCCTTGACTACCACTTCCGTTGAAGGGCGGTCCAGCGGACAGATCTGCAAGTACCGCGGTAATACGTATGCAGAAAGCGAGCACGCTGTGGGCACCACTCTCACGTGCACATGCAGCGAAGGACGATGGGTGAACTGCGAGGAGAATATGAACAGTAACAACTCGGGGGATGATGACACAGGAAACAGCAGTGTAAACGGTGCCCAACTAGGATTTAACGATTTCTTGAACAACTTTGACGCCAGAGATTTTGTCATCGACTACTCTACTTTACCCGGTGCAACGGAATTAGGCGGCACAGTGCAAGCAGCCAACAGAAACAATGTACCAGTGATGCAGGCCGCCAAAATGACTCATACTCGATTCCACATCGCACCATGCGGAATTAATCTACCACATATTCACCCCCGAGGTACCGAGTCTATCTATATAATCGAAGGCGCGCTCACAGTCGGTAAGTTATTTGTCTAGATAGGGATAGCTTTAAGCTTCTGACTTAAACAACCCCCACTGTGAAATCCTGGCCACTATTTAATACTAAATAGACAAATAACTATCACGGTTTTGTCAATACCCGATTCCATTTTGTAGAGTCTGACTAGTGAAAATCTCATAATTTTTTTTTCCTTCAGGCTTTGTCACTGAAAGTGGTCGTCTTATTACGAATGATGTGATAGTAGACCAGTCCACATTCTTCCCCCGAGGACTGATTCACTATCAACAGAACATGGGCTGTGAGCCTGCAGGGTATATCTCGATGCTTGACGATTCAGACGCAGGGCTACTGGTCGTGTCTGGAGTTTTAGGAAACCTACCAAGTGAAGCACTAGAGGCAACATTCGATGAAGACGCCGAGTTTGTGAATCAGCTGCTAATGGGACTTCCAACCGGACCTGCACGTGGACGTGCTGAGTGTTTCGTACGTTGCGGCCTCTCATCAAATGTTCCATTTTGAGCTTTTTGCGCACGGATTAACCAGATTGTTGTGCAGTCTCTGACTGCCCAGGAATTGTCGATTAGCAGACACCAGCGACATCTTGTAGATGGAGTGTCACATCTCTAAAGCTCGACAACATGATACTGGCAACTTAAAATATTCGCAACAGTATAATACAAAATTCGGAGGATTTCTTGGCATACTTGAAAAATACTTTAAAGAATAGTGTGGGTGGATGATTGTTCCTAGCCGTTCACTGTTTAATTAAAATCTCTACATTGCTGCTTGATTCCCGATACATTGTTGATAAACAGTGCATCTAACTATTGTCATCTGAACATATGACAATCGACTTTCAGATTCAATTCTACATACATCGCTGAGTTTGACAATTCGTAAATGTTGGGGTTTAATCATAAAACACACTACTTTATATTAAATATTTTATGGCAATTTGCGACAGTGCATCTTAAGATTGATATATCAAACAGCTTCGATTCGATTCTATCTAATCAAATACAGCTAGAAGAAGCCGAGCACAACGAAATTAGGTGAAATCTCGTACATGTTGGAGATTCCATCGCAAAGCGCTCTTAAAAGCTACATCGATTTGTAATAGCAGTCGATTTATTTTTATTTATGACCAGCTGTAACTAGCACATTATCGTATACAAATCGATGAGCAATCAATAAGAGACCAATCCAATTTGTACAGCGCGTATACACAGCAGTGACAGCTACAGGAAGAAAAATCAGTACGCACAGCATATATAT